CGGCCACCACTCACTGTGCTACATTTCTTTAGTTTTCTTAAGAATATTATATAAACGTACAGTATATAGCCTTTTGAGATTAGCTTTTCTCACTCAGCCTGATTCCCTGAAGTTGGGTGTATCTTTAGTTCATTCTTTTTTACTGCTGAGTTGTGTTCCATTGTGTGGATGGGCCTCGTTTAACCACCATTCACCTGATGCCAGTTTGAGGCTATTAAGAATAAAGCTGCTATAAATACTTGTGTACCAGTTTTATTGTGAACTTAAGGTTTTATTTCTCTGGGGGAAATGCCCAGGAGTGCAGTTGTTGGGCCGTACGGTGATTGCATGTCTCATTTGATAAGAAACTGCTAAACTGTCTCTCAAAGTGGCTGTGCCATTTTACATTCCTACCAGCAATGGGTGAGTGATGGTTTCTCTGTATCTTTGCCAGCATTTGCTGTTACTGTATTTTCTTTACCATTCCAATAGGCAGATAGTAGTTGCTCACTGAGGTTTTAATATCCATTTCCTAATGGCAAATGATGTTGAACATCTTTTTATATACTTAATGGCCAGTTCTATTTACTCTTCGGTGAGATGTCTTTGTGTCCTTTGCCCATTTTCTAATATGATTATTTTTCTACTGTTGAGTTTTGACAGAATTTTATATATTCCAGTTATCAATCCTCTGTCAGATATTCAGTTTGCAAATATTTTCTCCCAGTCTGTTGCTTTTTTCACCCCATTAACAGCGTCTTTTGCAGAACCAAAGTTTTTAATTTCGATGAGGTGCAATTCATTAGTTTTTCCCTTTATAGACTGTGCTTTTGGTGTCAAGTCTAAGAATTCTTTGTTTAGCCCCAGGTCTTAAAGATCTCTGCCTTTTCTCCCCACCTAAAAGTTATGGTTTTACATTTTACATTTACATGGTCCACTGAGTTGATTTTGGTATATGGTTGTTTTTCTTTAAGGATTCATTTTATTCCTTTGGAAACGACATGTCCTCTCCAGTTTCCGTGGTCCCCAACACTCCCTATTACCTCATTATAGCTGCTCTGACTGTTGCCAAAGTGCAGCGACATCACTATGGCTTTGGCAGATACCTAAAGAGTTCAATGAAAAAATTTTCAGCAACTGGGAACATGAGCAGTCCTGGAAAGATGACTTGAGGTCCCTAAAACCGAGGGGATCATTCCCCTTGTGGCACTCGTCTAGCCCCTGAGGGCCCACTGGGTTAAACTAAAATACAGCTTAATTATTTTTACTGTTATAGTCTATGCTTAGAAATCACATTCACAAATTTAAACCCTCCATTGTGGGTTGGCCTTACCAACCCTTAACACATAGTCATTGATGTCAAGTATTGGATATGACTGAATAGAAAAAAGTGCTTCATTCAGCTTTTATTTAACTGACATTGGACTTTAGGAAATTAATTCACATGATGTACATTGAGTTCAGTTCACTATAAACTGAACCGACTGTTTGTACTTTTATTTATTCTATTTTGGCTTAGAATGTCCTCTCAACATCAAGCTTCCCAACTTCTCTGTAAGGACGTCTTTAATTTACCTTCCCTCTCACCTTCTTCTACCCGATCGCCACAATTTCTATGTCCCTCTGTGAGCTTTCATAGCATGTTGTGTTAACTACTCACTTGTTACTTACTTGACCTTATATTGACAACGATGTAGCTGTTATGGAAACTTTCTATTGATTCCAAATATTTTTTCCCTCTAAGCAGCACTGTTACATGTTAAGAAGTAAAAATTTATTCACTATACAATTAGTAATTTTTCTGGGTCAGAACTTTATTCATTTTATTAATGACTAACTTGCAGAAATATGACACAAGAGTGGGCGATAAGGGCACTCAGCTCTCAGGAGGTCAAAAACAGAGGATCGCCATTGCCCGAGCCCTCGTCAGACAGCCTCGCATCCTGCTGCTGGACGAAGCCACATCAGCTCTGGACACAGAGAGCGAAAAAGTATGGTCTCCCCCCATGTCACATTTAATTTGCAAAACAAGTTTTTTGTGCACTTAACCATGAAAAAAATATGCAAGCACAGAAAAAAATACATAGAAATTTAGACAGTAGTTATTTCAAAGTAGAATATTTTCTTATTCCTTTCAGTATTTTCCAATTTTCTAAAACGATCATATGTTACTGCCCCCCACCCCAAAGATTTCATTTATTTATTTTTAGAGAGGGGAAGGGAGAGAGAAAGAGAGGGAGAGAAACATCAATGTGTGTGTGCATCTCACACGCCCCCCGGCTGGGGGCCTCGCCTGCAACCCAGACATGTGCCCTGACTGGGAATCAAACTGGCAACCCTGTGGTTAGCAGGCCAGTGCTCAATCACTGAGCCACACCAGCCAGGGCTGTCATATGTTACTTTTATAGATACACTGAAAGTAAAGCATTCAAAAGAAAAAGCTGCGTCAATCATTTTTAGCACATTAACTCTAATGGAAAAACTGAAAAATAAAATACTTAATGAAAAGGAACTAATTAGGTAAAATATACTGTGAATATTTTAAAATTTTAAATACTTGAAGATTCACAGTGTGAGAGTTTATAATTTAAAAGAACATAACTTTGTAAAGTCAAATTATATAAATACACGTGCATAAAACCAAAGATTCAAAAAGATCAGAAAGAAAAAAATTCTTGCTTGGATGGTAAAATTATCAAATTTCCTTTAATGCTAAAACCTATTTATATATACATATATATTTTAAAGTAAGTCTTCTGTTCTGATTTATCAATAGGTTGTCCAAGAAGCCCTGGACAAAGCCAGAGAAGGCCGCACCTGCATCGTGATCGCGCACCGCCTGTCCACCATCCAGAACGCGGACCTGATAGTGGTGTTCCAGAACGGCAGGGTCAAGGAGCGCGGCACCCACCAGCAGCTGCTCGCGCAGAAGGGCGTCTACTTTTCCATGGTCAATGTCCAGTCTGGGACACAGAACTTATGAACTCTTGTTACAGTATTTCTTATAAATAAATGAAAATCATTCTACAACTTTGGCTGACTTTTGTAAAAAGTTTTTGTCATTGGAAAATACAGGTATATCCAATCTAGGGTTTGATATTACAGCATTTAAAATTTTGGAGTTATATATAATCATGACACGTCTCTTAATGACATATGAAAACAGCCTGGCTCTTCCTATCAGAAACATACAAAAAAAAAGAGCAAAGTTCAGGATATAAAGATGTAAAAATAATAGAACCCACAGCCGTAAGTAAAATTCTATGGTTCTGAATAATTGGGCAGATGATAGGATGTTTTGGGAACAATCTTCCCAAGTTAAGCAAATATAGATTGTTCATAAGCCTACTCACTCTCTTGGTAGGTTTCCAAAATATACTTTTTGGGGCACTGAGATTTTTAAAAATGAATGTACCCCAGGTTTATGATCATCCAAGAGAAAATGAAAATTCTTATAGGTAAGGTAACTCTACAGGCACAAATTCATGGCATAATGCAAAAAACAAAACAAAACAAAAAAAACCCCAACATATCATCAAGTATTTCTTTGAAAGAAATGTTTAAAACTCATGAATAATTATCACACATATTATCTTTCAGTATAATTTATAACACTGGAAATAACAATAAAATGCTATTTCTATAGCAACTACATTACTTTTTACAAATAATTCTAATATTCCCAGAATGCGAATCCATTTCTCCAAACAAGAAGGAAATAAATATATTTAGATGAAAAGCAAAAAAGAAATATTCCAGGCAGCCCTTGGAAACTAATCACATTGAAATGTTTTTTCCATAGTTTACTAAAGCAGAATCAGTTTTTACTGCTGTGACAAGTTGTTTAGGTCAGTAAACTATTCAAACCAAATTCTTCTACCTGTAATAAACCATATACTGTATTACCAAAGGTGCTTTGGATGTGAACCTGTGTCTCAGTAGACAATTTCAGATTAACCAAGAGAAAAATGGGGCAAGGGGATCAGGACAGTGACTCAACATGAGCAGAACTCAACTTAATCTTGTGTAGCTATCCCCAAACTTGCCCCATGAGGATCATGCCCTGGAAGTTCTGACTCAGCAGGTCTGGGTCTGTGAAAGCATTCCCGGTGACTTTTGACTTGAGGCAATGTAGGGATGTGTGTTAGAGCACAAGTAAAAAGAGGCTTCTTTCCAGGAGGTGTCCTGTTTCAGAAATAGCCAAATCTTTATATGTTACTTAGAAACAACCAACCAAATGATTGTAAAGTGCCTGGAAATGTAGTCTACAAAACTGTACCAGTGAGGAAAAAGGTCCATAGATCAGATATCAAATGCCTTGGAAGCCAACTCTGAATGTTTTCACAAATAAATGATAATATGGTCTTATTCAAATCAGAACATATGAAGATATAAGAACAACAAAAAGAACATCCAACAGTATACTAAATAATAATTCTCATGTGATAGATTGCTACAGAAATGGCTCCCAATCCATGTCCTCTCTTGTGTACACTCATTTACAAAGTTATTTACAAAATGACTTCACTGCTCCTCTTACCAAAAGGTGAGACTTTCCCCCCACCCCTTAAATCTGGACCACCCTTGTAACTTGCTTTAACCAACAGAATGCAAAACATGTGACATCATGTGACTTCAGAGCCTAGGCCTTAAGAGGCCCTGAAACTTCTACCTTTTCCTCTTAGAACACTCCCACTGCCAAGTACAAGAGCCCAAATTAAAATACTGAATTATCAGACACGCCATATGGAGAGAGAGTCCCAGTCACCAAGTCCCTAGACAGTGGGTGAAGCCACCTCAGACTCACCGGCCACAGTCCCGCAGCCTGTGACTGCAGCTGCATAAATAATGGGCAAGACAGAAGCAGCAGCTCCGAATGGCACACTCAAGTGACACAATCATGAAAATAATAAATCGTTGGAAGAGATTAAGTTGGGGGCGATTTATTACACAACAATACAGAACATCAGAAAGTATAAGGTCAAACAGGAATGAATCACTTAGTCAAACAAAACAAGAAGTTGTATGATTTTAAGAGTTTTATTTTTCTGAGGGCAGAAATTACAAAATTGAACAGAGGAGAAAAAAGTATAATCCTGAAAATCTGATTCAATATTTAATCCTTTTAAAATCATTAATTCTGACATCTGATTTTAAATATAAGTGCGTTAATTTTATGTTCACAAAACTAATTACAATAATATACTAAAATGAATTTTGTTAGGATTTTCTTTAATGTGTGTCAGAGGGTGTAAACCTTCCTACCACAACTTAATTCTTCCATCTGTTCAACAGGAACTATTTTTATTAGATCACCATTAAATTGTAGTGGTCTTTCCCAAACACAGTGAGCTGTGTCCCTGTGGTGAATGTGACAGATACTGATTTCAGGGAAATTAGCATCCAGTCATGTATTTCATACCCTTTGGCAACTAGAAAATGTTAAAGTGCTTGAAAGACAGACTCTACAACAGCGATTTTCAACCAGGTGTGCCACAAGAATTATTAAAATGTGCAAAACCTGACTATTTAGTGAGGGGCACTGCCCTCTTTTCCCCTAGATGATCAAATAAAAAAATGACAACAGTCAATTGCTATCCAGTGTGAATGATTCAAAATTATACCTATTTTCCTGTCAGACTGGCAAAAAATACATTTTTTTGGTGTGCCTCAGGATTATAGTAATCCGTTTGTGTGTTCCACAAGATGAAAAAGTTTGAAAATCGCTGTTCAGCAATGATGTTCAGGGAGAGAATTTATAACCTATAGAAGTACCTATAAAAATATTTGAAAGTTAAAGTTAGACTTGCATTGTTAAAATTTGTACATTTGCATTGTTGAGGCTTATCTTAAATTTTGCATAGTTCTATATTCGCTGTATCAAAATTTGCATTGCTGCTGCATCAGAGGAAGCTAAAAAATTATTATTTCTACTTTCTACATCAGAATAAATTTAAAGAGCATGATTCTACTAATTTCTACATTTCCCTCAAGTCAACATTCAACATTCCTTCCTATCCTACCTTGCCAATCCACTAACGGGACCCAGCTTAAATGATACGTTTTGGTATGCGCTTAATGAATAATAGTCTCTAAAGATGAGGTGGGGTCATCAGCTGCATGATATCTCTGAAAGCATGGAAAACCTGCTGAACTAGTTTTTCTGCATCGGTCTCCGGACATGACTTCCAGGCTGAACAGCACACAGCCAACCTGTGAAGCACAGATAAAAAATAATTAAGTGCTATGCAAAAATCACAGCACAAAAAGGCTCCAAATGATGATGACCTTTATTCTGTCTGACTGTTAATAAATAATGTATGAATTTTTTCTGACATTAGGTAAATGTAACCTGACACAATGGGAAGTAAAGTCGTATTTGTACATAATGCTAGGGACACCTAATTTACTATGTGATTAGAGACTAAGACAAAAGGGAACAATAAACTAGCCAGAGCTCAAGGGCGCTTTGGGGCAAGGTCTTATTGTACTAAAGTAAACCCACCTCACCTCTTCCTTTAAAAAAAAAAAAAAAAAAAAAAAAAAAAGACCTTTTGGAATGTGTTTTAAATAGCATGAAGTGGAATATGAATTCCTATAACTGTTTGCAATGAAACTGGAACTATTTTTAAAGAATATAGCATTTGAAGAGGATAAAAATAAAATAGAGAAGAGGAGAAAACAAGCCATTTCTAGGAAAGCTGGAGAGAATCTCTCTTGGGACCACCTTCCACCACCTCCCGCTAGGTCCTCCGGATAAAGAAGTCCCGCCTGGCAGGCGGTAACAGTGGCCCCAGAGGCTGAAGAAAACAGGAAAGACGCCGGGCTTCCCATGGGCTCAGAGCAGAAACCGGGCTCCTGGCTCTCTTTGGAACTAGCCTTCTTCTTGCCAGACACTCAAATTTTTAATAGCAAAATATGCATTAAACCCAAGTTAAAACCAAAATGTCGTGTAATATGAAGCTTGTGGACAACCATATGATTTTCTCATCACTAAAAAAGACAGTACTGACATGTACTATACTTCAGATAAGCAGAATGCAGTAAAAACATGCTCTGGCCCAATACATAACAATGGAACTAATGTCTGTGTGGACTGTATTGCGAAAGAACACTGGCCGCTACAGAAAGTCCTGCCTTGTTGCCACCCAGTGATTTCATAGAACTTGTCATTTTCCAGCTACTCTGCACATAATTCTCAAACACTTAGCACCATCTACATATATTCCTTTGCAGAGATCAACATTCTTATTTCAGTTGCATTAAAAAAAAAATCAGTTATCTTTCTAAATTAAAGAAATAACTATCTTCAAAAAAGAATATACACAGATGCCAGGAACAAAAAAAAAAAGGTTTTTTATAAGAATTCAAGGTGTATTATTTTTCCCTATGAATGGTAAAGAATGTTTTATAATGCTTAGAGTTAGCAATGATGTCATGAAATAAGGAGGGATGTATTTCATATTTTGTAATAATGAAAAACTGGAAATTATAAGTAGGAGGCTAGCTAAATTGTGGAAATCCTTAAGACTGGACATTACTCAACCATTAAAATATCTCAAAAGCATATTTTTAATGGCACTGGAATCACCTGAAATAATGAGGAATAAAATTCACAGAAAGGACACAAAATACAATATGATCTAAATTTTTCAATATTTTACAAAATTTTTATGATGAGCATGTAATACATTTAAAATAAAATGCTATTTTTAAGAAAATAAACCAATTTTCTTTAAGTTATACAATTTTCACATTTAACAATCAATGAAGAAATCCCTTCCAGACAGTTTCCATGCATTTCATTTGCAAACTACTTGGGGTGTATTCACAGTAACGACTCATAATGTATAACTCTAGCCCTGACCTCTTTCCTGAGCTCCACACTCATATGTCCAACTGCCTACTGACCAATATCCTCTTATATATAATGAATTCCTGTTTTAGCAGAAATCTCAAAGTTAACCATGTACAAAACAAAATTCTTTTAAATCCTCACTTGCGGCTATGTTTATTGATTTGAGAGAGAGAGAGGAAGGGAGAGGGAGAGAGAGAGAGAAACATGTGCATGTCCCTATTGGAGATCAAACCTGCAACCTTTTGGTGTACAGGACAATGCGCCAACTAAATTTTTAGAGCCCCCCAGCCAGGGGGCAGTCATTACTGCCTGAAGGTATCCTGCTTATTTGTTTGCTTTTGTCCCTCTCTCCCAAGTAGAAAATAAAACCTGTGAGAGAGAGGAATTTGCCTATCTTGTGTCTTTAGCACCTTGGCACACCACAAGGTCTTACTCAATATTTTCTGAATGACAGAATGAAAGTTCTGCCCCAGGGTCATTAGAAATGTACTTTTCAGAAAGTCACAGAGCAAGGTAAACCTGGCCAAAGCTCTTACCATTGCATGCAATATGGAATCCACTATGGGTCAGGGAACATGTTAGAATGCTTACTTATTACCTGTATAGGGTGATAATTTTAGACCTCTGACACTTTATTCTGATTAAGATCCATGTTCAACCTTTATCAGTCAACCTTTAATGTGTAGATTCATGTACACGGACTGAGTACTATGAGAATACATAATCGAAGGACTTAGAGATTGACAAATTGAAGTGTAACAGACCATCACACTTGACATGGAAGGAGATGATAAAATTTTGAAAGAATAATACCAACTATAAACTCTTTAAAAAAGGGAAAGTATAAAAACATGGCATATAACCAGAAATATGTTACACATATTAGCATCATTCCAAATCTCTGCATCCCATCTGAAGTGCCTTGGCGCCCGCTCATTTCTTCTTTGCGGGCTACACTGCAGCCACATTATTTTTTATACAGCCAGCCACGCTTTGAAAGATCTCAGAAAAGAAACTGCCAGACTGTGTGAATGAGAATCCTCAGGCTTTTCTATCAGCTCTACATTACCTTGCTCTCTAGCTCTCCTCCCCCTTCCAAGTTTTCATATTTTATTTCTTACTTTTTCCATAAACTTAACTCAAACCCCAAATGAAGTACATCTGAATTGGTAAAACTTATTTTTTTATACGAATTAATTCATCTAGTCTCGTCTTGATCTTATCACTACTGTCTATGCCTACGTGAACCACCACATATTTACAGGCTGTCAAATTTTATCTGAACTTACCATTAAATACCCTGGGTATAAGAAATATGTTTATATGTGTACTGACTTTTGAGGATGATGATAGTATGATCACGGAGTCGAACTTAAATGGTATCCTATGGCACAAAACACCTAAATGACTGATTGGACAAGTGCTGCAAGAACAGGACAGAGAAACAATTACACATTAAATGCCTAAATGGTAAAAATAGGTACCCATTAGCCAGCAACAGATGACAGCACAATCGGAATCACAGTGTAAGAAAGACATTCGAACAAAAGTGACAGCTTCCTGACTCTAGAGCGCAGGACAATAAAAAGTGCAGCCTCACCTGTCGTCTCTGATGGAGTAAAAAAAGCCATAGCCGTTGTGCACCATGGGAGCGACTGCCCCCTGGACTGTTAAGTACCCAATCAGACTTGTTGAGAGAACAAAGTTGCCACCTCCTCCACTGAGTAACACAAAGAAAAGATGTTAGGATAGGCTGAAAGAAGTTTACCTTGTTTCTGAAGAGCTTTCAACGTTCAGGAAAAAAGAAACTAATGGGTAAAGTTATAAAATATATTTTATTACCTTCTGGAGAAAAGAGGATCTGTCAAGAGTTCTGGAACAGGGAGACCTTCCTCTTTTGCTATGAGTGAAAGACCTAAAAGATGACGGTCAAATCCTGCAATGAAGTCCCAAACCTCAAGTTAGCTTTGGCAATTTCCCTCATGCTGAAAACATTTTTAAGACAGAGTAATTACAATATAAGTACCTTTTCCAGTTGAACAATCTTTCATCATTTTATTATGTTTTGCAAAAGCCTGTAACATCTTCTGCTGCCGCTCAAGAAGCTGTGTTAAAAATTAAGAGATACTTCAATACAAACTGTACAGAAACCACGCAAAACACCCAAGTTCAAAGTAATTAGTATTTGGGTAACTGGGGAGAGAAAAGGCTTCCTAGGAAGATCTTGAGACGCGCTTCTGTGACTTGTCCTCACTTTCTTCGCTGCTTTTTCTGTTCCCACATGCCCTGCATCTTGATTCTTTCTTTCCAGGAACAGGAAGACAGGCACTTGTAGGCAGCACTGAAGTGACATTATCAAGTGTAAAGAAAGAAGCAACCGTGATTTCAAACTAAAGAGGAGTTACACAAAAATGATAACGATGCAGTTCTCTGAAATTAAAATAAATTAATATGTGCCATGTCTATCAAAAGTAAAGAAACAAATGCAACACCAAAATAACAGTGAGAAGGAACTACCCTGCTGTCTAAATGCTTACAAAAGAAAAAAATATAAAACAAAACATATAAAGCTGTTCTGGTTCTAATATATGAAAACAAGAACCTGTGATTTCAAAAGTGTTCAACCACATTTAGGAAAGCTGCTTTGTAAGGCAGCTCGCTCTATGGAGCCCGTGTCTTTCCCCACCCACTTCCTCGGGTGTGGGTTTTTTTTTTTGTTTGTTTGGGTTTTTTTTTTTTTTTTTTTGGTCTCTGCCTTTCTCTAAGCTCCAAGGGCTCTTCTTTTGCCTTTATAACTTCTACCCTGAGCCCACCCAGCTCTGCTGGCCCATTTTTTCTATAGCTCACTTCTTCTACCTCTGGGACTTTCTAAATAAACTTTCTGTTAAAGTCTGAGTCTTGGCTCTGAATTCTTTTTGGCCAGAACTCAAGTACTGAGGTCCCTGAACCAAGGTCCGGTTTACCTCCACTGGTCTAACACCTGGTGCCATTTTCACTGCCAACAGGGGGTTAACCAGGTGCAGATAACAAAAGACTGAAGATCTTTTAAGATAAGGTAGTCAAAGAAGGGCCTCTGAGGAGTTAGTTCTGAATTGTAAAGAGGCCCATCTTGAAAAGGTGAGCAGGGCAAGAAGGGAGGGGTGGAAATTTTGTCTACTCAGCCATCTGAATTCTTTTCCTGGTTGTGGGCATTCCACTCTGTAAGCCTCAGTAGGAGGAAGGCTCCTCCAAAGGGCATTTACCCATTTTCCTAGCCTTCTCTGCAGTTAGGATTTGGGCACATGACCTGGCCTTGAACAGATAGGGTTATCTGCCCAAGGCAGTGAGTCACGAGCTAGTGACACCAAGAAGCTGAGCCAAGAATTTCTTTTGGTATCAGTGCATGTGTTTGCAACATTAAACACAGGAAGAAGAAGGGGGGAGGGGTGGAGTGGGGAAGGAGGAGGAGGGAGGAGAGGAAAGAGAGGGAGGAGGAGGCAAAAAGCTCCTGTTAAAGGCACTTTGGGAGTGTCTGCATTTTACTGGTGTTATTCTAAAGGTAGATCAATAGTCGTGAAATACACAGGTTTTGAAGATGCCATGCCTAGAGAATGACACTAATGGGCTTTTTCTCAGGGTCCCCTGTTTCCTATTCTTTCCAAGTACACACTTCACTGGCAAATGAACAAATAAAAGTTTTTGCAAAACTTCAGGAAAAAACGTCTGAAAGTATTTTACTGATATAGGGGAACTGAGACCAAGAAGCCAGTTATTTAAGGGCCAAAGTTCCCTTAGAGCAACCAAAATCTGTTGGTTTTTTCTTTTCAAATACTCACACTGGCAGATGGGTCCTGCATGGACTGGCACCACCTCACTGCTTCTACTGTGCATGGTCGCACGGTCTCTGTGCGGCCGTGATAAAAGTATCTTGTCATAGCTGTTTCATAGCAGCAACCAGGGCTACAGGAAAGAAAACGAAAATTAGAGAATGCATCCTAATAAAGAAAACGCTCTAATGTTACTACAAAGAGAATTCACCTAATAACACTGACTTTGGTCAGAGACGAAGTTCTATAGTATAGGCTACAGTTGAAACTTTCAACAAAAAAATGGTATTTCCAATATCAAAGAACAAAAAATACTCTACGTGGAATGTTTCAAAGGCTTGGTTGCTGTCAGATTATATGTAGTGGTGTCTGTGGTAGGCAGTCTCTATTCTGTGATGCCTGCGCCTAGTGATCCTTGCCTTTTGCTATTTATGCCCCTCACTTTGAATGTGGGATGGCCTTAGTGACTTATTTCTAATGAAAGCATGTGACGAGTGGTGGGATGTCACTGCTGAAATCAGGTACAAAGAGAGCTCGCTCCTACTCTCATTACCTTACTCTGAGGAAAGCCGGCTGCCATGCTGGGAGCTGCCCAGGTGACAGGAAGCTGAGCGGGGCCTCTGGCCAAGACCTTGGGAAGAACTAAACCCTACAGTAACCCTACAGTGAGGGAGCTGGGAAGCAGACCCTCTCTGAGCGCTGCCTTCCGAGGAGAACAGAGCCCTGGCCGACACCGCAGCCACAACCTCGCAGCAGGCCTGAAGTCAGAGGCCGCAGCGAAGGCGAAGGCGCAGCTGGGCTCCTGACCAACAGGAAATGTGAGAGGGTAAATGTTTGTTGTTTTAAGCCACTAAGTGTTGGGGTAATTTGTTACACAGCAATAGATAATACACAATTCGAGGTCTTTAGCTCCTTCATTTAGAACATGAATGACTGCAGAATTAAGTAAAAGCATCATTTAAGAATTTCCCCAGAGTAATGACCATTTTCCTGGGTTGGAGAATGATATAAGCATTTTAGATATGAAGCATCTCTTACTTTCCTGGTGGCTGGAATTTAGAGTTAAAGAGATCAAATGGAGGGAGAGTAAAAGGCTGGGGTGTAGGCATTAAAAGGACCCAGAATTATTGAGCCTCTTCTGTTCTGTGTGTCTGTAAGGCTGTCTCCCTGAGCAGAAATAGTATCCTTTCAAAATGTGAAGAAGAAAGTAAAAATAAAAGTTTAAGATACCACTAAAATAATATTCTTTAAAAAAGATTAAAAAATAAAAGCAGTAAGAATCAATGATACAGTATCACCACTCTGTAAACTCTAATGAAATAACAGATCTTGGGAATCATCATCAATGGCTACTAAAACCATTTAGTGAAAAACTCAGAGGGAAGCTTTATTATGGATGTTGGCTGACACCTGAACTCTCAACCAGAAATAATTAAAGAGAAAAACAATAACATTGACTATTTGATTCATTGTTGTAAAAAATAACATTATTTTCAAGTCTCTAGATTTAATTACCATTTTGTATAAAATATGGGATACAGAGCAATATATTTAAGTGTTTTTTCACTTAAAAGGCAAATGTATAAAATAATACAAATTTATGTTAATGGGCATGTAGTGTACAAAGATATATGATAACAAAATAAAAGAGGGTGGCACAGAGATGTAGACAAGCAGAGTGTTTATAAACTATTAAAACTAAGCTGGTATTATTCACACTAGGTTGTCATAAATTTAAGATGTTAACTGTAATCTCCAAGGTAGTCACACAGAAAATAGCTAAAGAATATAGGGAAAAAAAAGGAAATCAAAATGGCACATTGCAAAAAACCAATTAAATATGCAAAAAAGGCAGGAATGGAGAAACTGAGGAATAAAAACCTATAACACCTAGAGAAAATACATCTATATGGCAGAAACAAATTCTTTTTCAATAATTATTTTAAAGGTCAATAGGGTGAATTCTTCAATCAAAGACAGAGGCTGGCATAATGAATTAAAAACATAGTCTATCTATACCCTGTCTGCAAGAGATTCACTTTAGATAAAAAGACATTAAGAGGTTAAATGTAAAAGGATGAAAAGAGGTATTCCATGAAAATAGTAACCAAAAGAGCTGGAGTAATTATCTTGTTATGAGGAAAATAGATTTTAAGTCAAAAGGTTAAAAAAGGTGAATAGAAAAGAACATATTGATCAAAAGTATAATTCATCAAGAAGATATAAATTATAAAAAATGTATGCACAAAACATAGCTCTAAGATATAAGATGGAAACAGAGACAACTGCTCTACAACAATAGCTGGAGACTCTAATACCCAACTTTCAATAATGGAAAGAACACGAAAACAGAAGATAATAAGGAAACAGAAGACTTGAACAACACTATAAATAACTAGACCTAACAGACATATATAGAGCACGGCACTCGAAAACAGAATAAAATTTCTTCTCAAGTGCATATGACAGACTGTAAGTTAGGCCACATAAATCTCAATAAATTAAAAGACTGAAATCATACAGAGTATCTTCTGCAATGACAATGGAATGAAGTTAGGAAGTCAATTAAAGAAGGAAAACTGGAAAAATCACAAATATGTAGAAATTAAACAACACACTCTTAACCAACCAATTGGCCAGGGAGAAATCAAAGGTAAATTAGAAAATACCTTGAGATGAATTAAAAGGAAAACATAACACACCAAAATTTACTGGATCAAACGTAAGTACTGTTCAGAGAAAAAGTTATAGCTACAAACACTTATGTTAAAAAAAAGATAATCAAATCTAAAAACTAACTGCAAACTATAAAGAATTAGAAAAAAGAAGAGCAAACTAGATCATAAGCTAGCAAACGCAAGAAACTAACAGGGTGAAGATAAAATACAGAAATAAAAGGATAAAGTTAACTAAATTGACAAACCTTTACATGACTAAGAAAAAAGGAGAACACTACAGTTACTAAAATTAGCTATGAAAGAAAGCATTACTACCGACTTTACATTAATACAAGGGATTATAAGTTAACATTATGAACAGCATACTAAAAAACTGGATACCTTGATGAAATGAACATATTCGGAGAAACCCATAAACTGTCAAATATGACTCAAGAAAAAAGAGAAATGTGACTGAACCTATATCAAGTAAGGAGAAGACTAAGTAATCAAAAACCTCCCAATGAAGAAAAGCCCTGGACTAGATGGTTTCATTAATGAATTCTAACACTTAAAAAATCAACATCAATTCTTCTCAAACTACTCCATTAAGAAAAAAATAACCTGAAGAGGAGGGAACACTTCCTAACACATAACGAGACCAGCATCACTGTGATACCAAAACTAATCAAGGATCCTACAAGAGAGGACACTATAAACCAATTATTTCTTATAAATATAGATTTGAAAATCCTCTACAAATTATTAGCAAACTGAATTCAGCAGCATATTAAAAGGATCATGTATCATCACCAAGTGGGATTTATTCCAGGAATGCAAGAGTGGTTCAACAAATGAAAATCAATCAATATAATGTACCATATTAATAGAATGAAAGAAAAGATCTATGTGATAATCTCAACCAATACCGAAAAAGGATTTGACAATGTCCAACAGTGTTCCATAATAAAAACACTGAATAAACTACAAAGAGACGGGAACTTCCACAAAATGACAAAAGGCACTTATGAAAAGCCCACAGCCAACTTCATAGTCAATAGTGAAAGACTGAAAACTTTCCACCTAAGATGAACAAGAAAAAAGGATGCCTGCTTTTGCCACTTTTATTCAGCATGGAACTGCTTGTTCTACCCAGAAGGGGAAAAAAAAGCAACCAAATTGGAAAGGAAAACTGTATCTATTCACAGATACCTAATCTTATATTTAGAAAACCCTAAATATAAGTCTACACACACACACACACACACACACACACACACACACACACACACAAAACCCCCCCCAAAAAAACCCAACAAAAAACCCCACAAAACCCTGTTAGAAATAACAAACAAATTTGGCAAAGTTTCAATATACAAAATCACTTTCCCTTGCCCCCTCCAAGGGAAAGTGGTGGGGGGTAGGCAGAGACAAATATATTTGAAAAAATAAATTAAAAAAAAAAAAGATACAAAATCAACACAAAAAATCAGTTACATTTTTATGCATTAGTATTGAGTGATCTGAAAAGGAAATTTAAAAAAAATTCCATTTACAATAGCATCAAAAAGAATAAACTACTTAGGATTAAATTTAACCAAAGAGGTTAAAAGACTTGTACACTGAAAACTACAAAATATTGCTAAATTTTAAAAAACAAAAATAAATGGAGAGGGATCTCACGTTCACAGATTGGAAGATCTGACATTGTTAAGGTGACAACACTACCCAAAGGAGTCCCAGAGTTAATGTAATCTCTATCAAAATCCTAATGACATTTTTGCAAAACTGGAAAAAACCCATCCTAAAATTCTTATGGAATTTCTAGGGACCCAGGAAAGTCAAAACAATCTTGAAAAGAAGAACAAAGGTGAAGGACTCATACTTCCAGATTTCAAAACTTATCTAACCAAAATAAGCCAGACACAAAAGGACAAATTTATATAATTCCACCTACAGGAAATATCTAGAACAGTGAAAATCATAGAGACGAGAAGCCGATTAGAGGCTGGCAGGGTGTGGGGCTAAAGGGGGAGTGGGAAATTATTGCTGAAGGGGTACAGGTTCTGTTTGGGGTGATGAAAAATTTTAGAAATCAATAGTGGTGACGGGGGCACAACACCGTGAATGAAGTCAATGCTACTGGATTATACAGTTAAAAATGGTTAAAATGGCAAGTTTCATTTTATACATATTTTACCATAATAAAAAAGTAACTGCTTAAGGCAAAAATACTCACAGTACATTGTGCAGTTTATAACATATGCAGAGGTATAATGCATGGCGACAGCACAAAGAATGGGAGAAGCGAAACAGAAGCATTTTGTTTTACTGTTCCTGCATTATACTTGAAGTGGGAAATACCAGGTTGGCCAAAAAGTTCATTTAGTTTTTTCTGCATGATGGCTCTAGTAGTGCTTAGCTGTCTTTAACCTCATTTGAAGCAACTGTATTGTGTCAGACTGTATTGTGACAGCTGTCATATCAGCATGCATTAAAAACCTTATCAAAATTGGTGAATTTTTGTGCAGCCATTTTAATACTGAAGATAGAAGAAGACAGGCAACATTTTTGGCATATTATGATTTATTATTACAAGAAAGGTAAAAATGCAACTGAAACACACGGAAAAAGATTTGTACAGTATATGGAGAAGACATTGTGACTGACTGAATATGTCAAAAGTGGTTTGCAAAGTTTCTTGGTACTATAGACATTTTAGCCAAAAATTCTTTGCTGCGGGGTTGTCTCATGCACTGGACAATGCTTAGCAGCACCCCTGGCCTCTACCCACTAGAGGCCAACAGCAGGAGAGAGCACACATACTCAAAATGACCAAATCAATAAAGTTGTTGGTGGAAATGAATATGTATCTTTTATTTTATGGAAAACACTGAATGGACTTCATTACCAACAATAGTATATGAAAGCAGACTATGATAAATTAAAGATGTATTTTGTAAATCATAGTGCAACTACTGAAAAAAACCCCAGAACCCCAGTACAGGTGGCTATGAAAATAAAATGGACAATTAAAAAAAAAACAACAACACTATGAATTCAAAAGAAGATAAAAAAGAAGGAACAAAAACAGACGGGATAAAGAGAAAATATACAGGAAGATGATAAGCACAAACCGAACCTTACTGAAAATTAAATGTAAATGATTTAAATATCCCATTTAAAGACAGATCTTCTCAGACTGGATTTAAAAAAGCAAAATCAAGGAGCTCCCACTTCTGTTTAGGATGTAGAAAGTCACAACATACCATCTCTCCTATCCTAAAAATGAGTAAAGAGTAAGATAATTGGCAAAATCACATCTTCCCATGAACCCATCAGAAAACTAAGGCTACAAGGAAATGAAATGATCTGAATTCCAAAAAATGGCAAAACCCCTCTTAGAAGTATTAAGGTAATGAAAACAAAGTAAGATTCTGAAAGCGTCACAGATGGAAATTTGTGATGCTTTGCAGTTATTATTGATGGAAGTACAAATTCAGGCATTGTGTCAATTGGAATAACATAGGAAAAAACACCGGGGTCAGAATGAAACCACTATGGTAAAGAGATACCCTTGGAGTTCAAGAAAATGAATGGTTCTCACCGTCCATGAAGTCTATAATAGGCCAGCTGAAGTGCAAGCTGAATAAATGTATCAGGGTGAAGCATCATCTTCTTGGTTAGCTTTTTGCCAAAAGATGTAAAGTAATGTGCCACAACCTGCAGATCAGATGACTAACACACACACACACACACACACACACACACACACACACGCACACAAAATTAAATGGGAACAGTGAAAATCACCTAAGGGGAATATCCCAAGATAACTAAATAATATTTTTCATTAAAGTAATTATCAAACATAATTAAAGGTATTAAAGCTATAATTTAAGTGTTTCATGCTGTCATACTTAGATGTTAGCCAAGTTTTGATATATAGTAGTTAAAAGAGAAAGCATTACTATTTAAGACAAAAGTGGAAAATCTACCTGCTTGAGATATTGGATTTTAGCTTGGTTGATGTCATTTAATATTTTCTCATCCACAGTGAAAACAAGCTCCTCTGGAGGGGGTATATCCCGTACTTTTTCTGGACCCTGAAAATAGGGAAGAATTAAGAATATTGTATCTATAAAAATATGAGAAAAAGGATAAAATATTTGTTCTAACATACCTTCCATCTTCCTTCATTCTCTAAAATCTTCTCATCAACATAATGGCTGATGTTTACCATAACCATTGCATCATAAGGAGCATGCTAAAACAAAAATATACAATATTTTGAATACTTGATATCAAGTTAAAACAATGCAATGTTTTATTTTCACTTTTCCTCCACTCGTAACACATGATAAAGTGCAGAATTCTCAAATGTCTTTACTGCCTAAGGATAAAGATATGGACATTTTACAATATAGTGATTGCTCCATTTTATTTTCTGAGAAAGAACAAAGTTTTAAAGTTGGAACCATCTAGAGAAAATACTTGCCGTTTGTGTTGGAAATCAAAGCAAGTGGACGTGTGCGATGCTTAGATGTTCGTGAACTGTGCGAGCACTGTGTAAAAGCCACTGGGGACGGCAGACTATCTGAAGGCTAAGAGGATGGGTATGAATTTTAGGTGAAGACATGGACCCACTAGATGAGTATTAAAAAGCCTAACAATTTTGTGTACATATATCCAACAATAATCGGAAGTAGCAGAATTCTCAATGTTCAAGGAATGTGGGACAGATGGGCCGAGTTACAGGGTGTTAGAGGTTTGAAAGCTGTATTTAGAGAGATGAATTGCAGCTAGTGAATTTTTCCATCATTTATTTTGAAGGACAAGCTTTTTGCTTTATTTTCTCCATGTTCCTTTGATGACAATTACATCAGATGGGTTTTTTTTTTTCTGTGTTAACGCTACCACTTTACATTAAACACAGTTATCATTCATGAGCTGAATGTGACGCTGCTAGCCCTGGGGAGGAAAGAGGGAGGCTTAAAATGTAAGCCCAGCCCTCCTGGGCCCAAGTGCAGAAGGAGTAATCAGGTGTCTAAAATATCTCACCACTGCACAGTTCTGCTGCCCTATATCATGGCCTAATGGAGCCAAGAAGCACAGGGCACTGTTGTCACATAGGTAGCAGCCAAAATATCAGGCAAGGCTCATGAGGTAGGAGATTGCAGGAGGAGCTGGGCCCACCTGTCAGCCACAGCACACATAACAAAACTCACAGGTAATGGACAAACCCCTGTCTCTCTGCATCTCACAACTGTGTAGTGCTTTCCAGCTTTACAAAGAATTTTCACAGATATCACATACATTGTTTCATTTAAGACAATAGAATAAATCTCTAATTCTCCTCCTGGAACCAGTTAGAAGAGCAAGACTGATGGCTATAAATCTCTACAATTTATAATTCTACCCATCCATCTCCTGGTGGAAAACTAATAATAAATTTCAAAAAAGAATGAAAAATTCAAATGCTTTCCTAATGCTTTGTTCATGGGAGTTTGACCGTTTTTATTTCATTTATATGAAGGTAATATGTGTAATATACTATTTAAAAATGTGGACTTTGGTTCTGAGTCCAAACACCACCATGTGCTAGCTGTGCAATTGTGAGAAAGTTAATTCTTTAAGTAAATTGCCTCACCTGTTAGTGGGGATAATAATATCAATACCTATTCTCACACAGCTGCTGTGAAAAATGATTTTAATAATGCTTATAAAGTGCTTACTAGAGAACCTGGCTCACAGCTAATAATTAGTAACTGCTGTTATATTAACAACTAATGTTTATTACAAAATGCTTCTTATGTGCCCTTCACAAAGCCTACATAGAGAAACTCAGGATTTTAAATCCCAAGAGGGAAATGCGATTAATTAGTATGATCACAGAAGTACCCGTTCAAGCACCAACGGAAGAGAACAACAACATGGCTCTGAATTAAGAACAGGTTTACTTTACAGTATATATAGTTTACTAATGGTGCTTTACACAGGTTAAGTTGCATTTTCTATAGCATCTTAGGAAACAAGGGAAACCTACATAGAATTTTAAAAGCCGATTATCATGTGGAGAAAATCCAATTGATTTTATACATACATAGGTGTTAATGCATATGTATAAAATGTCCATACACTTCCTACAGGAAGCATCTCAGTTGTGTTGAGATGTACGCTCATAATGGGACTAATATTCTTTATTTGAAGATAGAAAAATCACTAAGTTATTTTCATCCTGAATTTGAGCAAACAACAGGATGTTAGTGGTATCAGTAAAACTCAAAGTAGTGCAAGGTGTTTTTGTGGGGGAGGAGTGGGAATGAGGGAGAAAAGCAGATGATGTATTCTTGATGATGAGAGCAATTTAGCCCCATGTAACAATATATTGAATATCATCCAGTTTGAACAATTTAACATACAGTGAAACAAAACTCTCAAAATGAGAATAGGTAAAAATTGGAAAAGTATAACTGCAAGTTACCTATATAACAATGGCCAATCAAAGCATTAAACCAGAGCAGAGAGCAGGCACATGGGAGAAAGTATACTAACACTAAGGTCAGTTGCAGAGTAAACAGACGGGGAAAGACTGGTAAGGGACGGAGAGAGTGTCAGCGCTGTATGAAGAAAAGGGTGACCACCTGCAGAAGACAGGTCACAGAGAGGTGGCAGGCAAAAGTCAGCTCCTGCACAAAGGATTGTTTCCAGGGCCTAGGGAGGACAAAAACCAGGCTGAGAAGGTGAAGAAGAATCAAACAAGGAGCTGAAGAGAAGAAAACTGAGGCAATTAACAAGAAATATTCTGTCAGCACTGGACTCCAAGTTAGAGCAAAGACAACAACACTTCAAAATGACTCATGACAACCTTTTACTCTGATGAACTACTACTACAGACATCTAGATTTCCTACCTGCTCACCAACCACTCCACCGCGTTACAAGATAACAACAACTTTGTTTTTCTTTAGGCAGCCACCACATATCTTTGTGTTGGTTTGAATAAGAATGATCCTACCTCTAGGTGTCAAGGTTTGGCATGTGGCCCAGACCAGGCAAATCACAGCACCTGACTCCCTGGAATGGGCACATGATTCGCACACGCCAATCACAGCCCATGAGCATTCGCCCCAGGACTCTTGCTGGGACTGCTGGGGGGAGAAAGCTGGCTATTGCCACAGGGAACCGTAATCTATGAAGAGCGCTAAGAAGACATGCAATTGTTGATACAATAATCACAGGGGGTAGTCCACCTAAACATAAAGCCAGACATAGAAAAGTAGAACCAAAAAAAATAAAAAGAGTAATTTCTAATGACAGAAGTTGGGACACTGGAAGTCAGCCTTTTCCAAATTTAGCTGTACCCCTATGCCAACAAATTTCCTCTTAAACTAACGCCAGTTTGATTTTGCTTTCTATAACCTAAAACTAAATAAATACTGATTAATACAACCATTGGACCCAAATCAATGTAACAGGTCTTTTTAGTGTTTTACTGTCACTAAATGCTTTTAGAGGAAGGACACCAAACACTAACAAAAAATCTCCATCATACTACTTGATATCATACTACATACTTTATGAAAAATGTCACAATGAGATTACAAGTGTGTACTGCAACTCTAACTTAGGTTGAATTTTAAATTTTCTTGATTCATTGGCCTCCTGAATGTTCACCAGAAAATGACAAGGTAGAGCTAATGAGAAAGGCCATGGGAGAACAGAAGAGAAACATGAAGTTTTGTTTTTTTAATAAAGAAGGTAAAAATGGTATTAAACACCAGACACTTCACTATCCATAGTGTAATGAATAATATTCCAAAGATCATGTGTCACTTTAAGAAAATATTTAAAAATAACTAGGTAAATAAAGAAATAATCCACATATATTTCTCTGTATTTAGAACATATACATAATGCTAATATAATATCTTTTTCAAATGCACATGGAACATTTTCAAAGATAGACCACATGACAGGACACAAAACAAGCCTCAGCAAATTCAAGAAAATTGAAAACATAACAAGCATTTTCTCAGACTGCAAGGGCTTGAAACTAGAAACCAATCTCAAGGAAAAAACTCAAAAACACTCAAATTCATGGAGACTGAATGAATAGCGTGCTATTAAACAATGAACGGGTCAATATTGAGATCAAAGAAGAAATCAAAAAGTTTCTGGAAACAAATGAAAATGAACATACAATAGTCCAAAACCTATGGGACACAGCAAAGGCAGTCCTGAGAGGGAAGTTCATAGCAATACAGGCCTCCCTAAAAATGGTAGAAACATTTCAAATAAACAACCTAACCCTACAGCTTCGAGAACTGGAGAAACAACAACAAACAGAGCCCAGAGCGAGTAGAAGGAAGGAAATAATGAAGATCAGAGCAGAACTGAATTACATAGAGACGAAAAGGAAAATTCAAAGGATCAATAAATCCAGATGCTGGTTCTTTGAAAGGATAAAATCGACAAGCCTTTAAGCAGACCCATCAAAAAAAAAGGGAGAGGACCCAAATAAATAATATCAGAAATGAAAGAGGAGAAATAATAACTGATACCACAGAAATGCAAAGGATTGTAAGAAACTACTATGAACAATTATATGCCAAGAAATTTGAAAACCTTGATAAAATGGACATATTTCTAGAAAAATATAACCTAACATTGAATGAAGAAGCAGAAAGCCTGAATAGACTGATAACAGCTGGTGAAATTGAAGCAGTAATCAAAAAACTCCCGGCACAAAAATGCCCTGAACCGGATGGTTTCACAGGAGAATTTTACAAAATATTTAAGGAAGAGCTAACCCCTGTCCATCTCAGAATATTCCAAAAAATCAAGAAGAGGGAAGACTCCCAAACTCTTTTTATGAGGCCAGCATCATCCTAATCCCAAAACCTGATAAAGACACAAGAAAGAAAGACACAACAAAGAAAAAAAACTACAGGCCAATATCGCTGATGAACATAGATGCTAAAATCCTCAACAAAATATCGGCATATTGCAACCAAAGATACATTAAAAAGATCATTCACCATAATCAAGTGGGATTCATCCCACAGATGCAAGGATGGTATAGTATTCACAAATCAATAAACATAACACATCACATAAACAAAAGGAAAGACAAAAATCACATGATTTTATCAATAAATGCAGAAAAAGCATTTGATAAGGTACATCGATTTATGATAAAAACACTCAGCAAAGTGGGAATAAAGGGGGCATACCTCAACATAATAAAGGCCATGTATGAAAAACCTACAGCCAACATCATATTCAACAGGCAAAAACTAAAAGTTTTCCCACTAAGATCAGGAAAAAGACAAGAATGCCCACTTTCACCACTTCTATTCAACATAGTATTGGAAGTCCTAGACACAGTAATCGGACAATAAAGAGAAATAAAAGGCATCCAAAGTGGAAAGAAGGAAGTAAAACTGTCAGTTTGTAGATGACATGATACTGTACATAGAAAACCCCATAGACTCCACCAAAAAATACTACTCGACCTAATATGTGACTTTGGCAAAACAGCAGGATACAAAGTCAATATTCAGAAATTGAAGGCATTTTTGTACACCCACAATGAACTATCAGAATCAGACATCAGGAAAAATCCCCTTTGCTATAGCAACAAGAAAAATAAAGTACCTAGGAATAAACTTAACCAAGGAGGTAAAAGACTTGTACTGAGAAAACTACACAACACTGAAGAAAGAAATTAAGGAAGACACAAATAAATGGTAGCACCAACTGCGTTCATGGATTGGAAGAATTAACATCATCAAAATGTCCATACTATCCAAAGCAACTTACAGATTCAACACAATCCCTATTAAAATACCAATGACGTGTTTCACAGATATAGAACAAACATTTAAAACACTTATATGGAACCATAAATGACCCCAAAGAGCACAGCAATTTTGAGAAAGAAGAACAAAGTAGTAAGGAGCACAATACCTGATATCAAACTATATCACAAGGCCACTGTAATCAAAACAATCCAGTACCGGCATGCAGAAGAGACACATACATCAATGGAACAGAATAGAGAGCCTAGAAATAAACCCATGTCTCTATGGTCAATTAATATTCAACAAAGGGGGCAGAAGCTTGAAAGGAGTAAAAATAGCCTCTTCATCATATGGTGTTGGGAGAGCTGGACAGCTACATGCAACAAATTGAAATTTGACCACCCACATACACCATACACAAAAATAAACTCAAGATGGATAAAAGACTTAAAAGTCATGACACCATAAAAATCCTAGAGGAGAACATAGGCAGGAAACTCTCAGATATTCCACACAGCAATATTTTCACCAATAAAGGAAAGAATAAACAAATGGGACCTCATCAAAATAAGCAGCTTCTGCACAGCTAAAGAAAATATCAGCAAAATGAAAAGGGAACCAACTGTATGGGAAAATAAATATGTTTGCCAATGATACCTTGGACAAGGGTTTGATCTCCAAAATACATAAAGAACTCATATGACTCTACTCCAGGAAGACAAACGATCCAATTAAAAAATGGGCAAAGGACCTGAACAGACACTTCTCCAAGGACATACAGAGGGCCCAGAGACATATGAAAGGATGTTCAGCATCATTAGTCATCAGAGAGATGGAAGTTAAAACCACAATGAGATACCACTTCATACTAGTCAGAATGGCCATCATAGACAAATCAACAAATCAACAAACAACAAGTGCTAATGAGGTTGTGGAGAAAAGGGAACCCTAGTCCACAATTGGTGGGAATGCAGACTGGTGCAGCCACTGTGGAAAACAGCTTGGAATTTCATCAAAAAGCTAAAAATGGAACTATCTTTTGACCCAGTGATTCCATTGTTGCGATTATACCCTAAGAATCCCAAAACACCAATTCAAAAGACCTATGCACCCCAATGTTTATAGCAGCACAATTTACAAAATAGCCAAGTGCTGGAAGCAACCTAAGTGCCCATCAATAAATGAGTGGATCAAAAAACTGTGGTACATTTACAGAATGTAATACTACACAGTGGAAAGAAAGAGCAAGCTACTATCCTTTGCAACAGCAAGGATGGAACTGGAGAGCATTATGCTAAGCGAAATAAGCCAGGGGGTGAAAGACAAATACCATATAATCTCACCTATAAGTGGAACCTAATCAACAAAACAAACAAGCAAGGAAAATATAGTAACCAGCAACACTGAAAGAAAAAACAAACCAACAGTAACGACTGGGAAGTAGGGAGGGGGGTAATGGGGAAAAGAAGGAGAAGGGTCACATCAAGGAACATGTATAAAGGACCCATGGACAAAGCCAAAGTGAGGAAGGATTGAGAGTGGGAGGTGGGGGTGGACGGGGCAGGGGAAAATGGTGGCAGGAAAATGGAGACAAATGTATCTGAACAATAAAAAAAAAGAACATATACATAATGCTAATATAATATCTTTTAAAAGAGGTTGAGCCCTGACTGGCTAGCTCAGTTGGTTAGAGCATCATCCATCCCTATGCACCAAGGTTGTGGGTCTGATCCCTGGTCAGGGCACATACAAGAAACAACCAAGGAATACATGAATAAGTGGAACAACAAATTCATGTTTCTCCCTCTCTCTTCCTTCCTCTCTCTCTCTCAGTCTCTCATTCTCTCTCTCTCAAATCAATAAATAATAAAATAAAATAAGTTGTAATTCTCAATGAACAGAGAATTTTAAGGAGCTTATACTATGTGGAAATATATGCAAATTTCACTTTGCAGATAAACACCAAACTATTAGCTTTACTACTGAAAATAACTTGTCCTTTAATCTACTTTCACTAAGAATTCATAACTAAACCTCTTACGATAATGACATAAAATTGAATTAAGTGTTTACTCATACCACCACAGCACAGCCTAAGTATTGTAGCTTATTGCCACTAAATCAACCTAAAAGATTAAAAGAAAAAAAATAGCTTCAGTAGTCTACTTACATCACAATTACAGCCAAATACTCCATTAGAAAAGGAAATCAAGTTATAGGATTTGTCACCCCAGCGTACTGTTGGATCTCCAGTGAGGATCATTGCAATTGTCTAAAATAAATTAAAAAGATTTTAATATCGATTTGTAAGTATTTATATCATATCTACATATATATGGTCTGGCTCTTCACTTTCAGGTAAACCAAATTTAAAAACGGTAAGTTATGCCCAAGAGAGTCATTCTGGCCCTGACTTTAGATATTTCTTATAATCTCAAGAGGTGAGCTCTCCCTCCTGGGAACACACCCACGCCTCTGCCTGCCACCTCTTCTTCCCCCCAGAAGTCCCCTTGCCTTTTTCTCTCCTGAGCCCCAAGGGCCCTTCTCCTGCCTCTGTAAGTTGCTTCCTGAGCCTGTGCAGCCCAGATGGCTCTCTTCTACTACCTCCATAACTTGCTAAATAAACTTTCTCTTATAATCTGAAAAAAAAAAAATCTCAAGAAACCCTCCATTAAAGAGAATGCTGGAACAGCATTCATACATGTTTAGAGAACATACAACTGAAAGAACAAGGTTTTGCAACTTAACAGTATTAAGAGGCCTTGGTAAGTTCAGTCATTAAAATTTAGTTACAAGAAAAACATTTCAAGATTTCAGATCTCTCCTAAGCCTCTTTCTCAAATGGTAGGTTTTAGCCTATTAGTGAGTTAAGAAGTCAGTTTAGTGCCTCACAGTAAGCACTACGTATGACAAGAAAGAATAAAATAAAACATTAATATGAGAGTACATCACAGATAGTAATTACTTTTTTGTGAAACTTCTATTATACACATGCGTGTGCACAAGCACGCCCGTGTAGAGGGCTGCAGTCTAAACGCACGTCTGACTGTAGGTTGCAGTACCAAAGTTTGAACAATACTGCATTAAAACATATTTCTCCTCAAAAGTTTGGTGATTCGTCTACTAAAAAAATAAAACTAAAGGAGATGAAAAGTTGGCTTCTAGCTCCACAGTTTTTCAATTCTATATTATTTTATTGCTATCATTTAATAGTGATGAATGCTTTATGAAATAATTTGTTTTTAAAAGACAATGAGACTCCTAAAAATATGATTACTGCCTTTTATTATTTCTCAGAAAATGGTAACATTATCCCACAGGAAAAAAAAGTAAAGCCATGTTTACTTTTTTACCCCGTGGGATGATATTTTCACTTAAACTCACTACAGTCAGTTTGTTCAATAAAAGCAAATGGTAAGACAAATTACTTACCGTTTGATATAATTCTTAGGACAGACCTCACCAACTAAGGTGTCAAGGCACACTGGTGTGGGTTATAGGTAGGTTCTCGTGTCACCTTTGGCACAAGAAGCTCATTTAGCCCAGTGACCTGTGCAAATTTTCTGTATATGCATTCCATGAAAGGCTGAGAAACACTGGTGTGTGTATATATGTATGTGTATATATATATATAAAATGCAAACAAATAGTCATACTTCTTTAAACAGCATACAAGATTTATCTAAATGGACCTAAACAATATGGAAAGAATTCACGAAGCATGATTTACCTATCTATAAGCTTCAATTTGGTACATGTGGGAAGAATTACTAGACTATTATAGCTAAGTACCTGTGAATAATCTTCAGGTGTTACATGTGGACAGCCATCCTCTATGGAATATACCAGTACACTGCTCTGAATTTTTTCTAGCATAGTCAAGTTCTCTGGATCAAGACTAATCAAATATTCTCGTGCCTAAAGTGGAAGGAGATAATGATTAAATCCAGGAGGGAAAGGTTCATTATGAAAAGTGTTTAGTTAATAATAATGCATTGCATATTTGAAACTTGCTGGCAGTAGATCTTAAAACTTCTCATCACAAGAAATTTGTAATTATGAAGATACATCAACTAGACTTATTGTGGTGATTATTTTGCAATATATACAAATAATGAATCGTTATGTTATACATCTGAAAACAATATAATGCTCTATGTCAATTATAGTTCAATAAAAAAAAAATGTAAATTATGACCTTAGCCCATCGAGTTCGTTCCTCGCTAGTTAACGCTGCTATCCCAGGTCCAGCAGGTTGACTATAGCACTTCTTGTGGATGTATGTCAGTTGCCTTATGGAAGATTAAAGAAAGAGGATTCAAAAAGAGTACTGGCAGAATCACTAGCTACTTTGGCCTTTCATACGTCTCAATGTGTTTACCAGTGTTTGAATATTTTGATGTATTATCCAAAGGAAGGATTACGATCTCAGCAGCAATGGATTTATTTTCATACCATATCATTTTTTAAAAAGATACTTATTTGACCAATTAACACCAAAAGTGTATTTGACAATAACCTAAGTAAATAAATTTGGTATTTGGCTGGATATAATTTATACTTTCAAAATATACACGTACTCTTGGGGTCCTAGTAAATACCCCTTACACAATGGAGAATTTGAATAATATTCTGGTAAATAGACTCACAAATATCATAAACATCTAACTAAAAACTATGTGTATATTTAACAGAGGACTTACTCTTTACCTACTTAATATTTGTGTATTTAACCCACATAGTCACGAGTAGTTGTTACTTGTAACCATTTTAAAGACTCTATTAGCTAAGGATCAATTATTTTCCCCCCATATACTACCAGTCTGATGAGTTTCATGTATTTTAAAATATGTGGCAGGTAAATAATGGGGTTCTTCTACAAAAATTAAATTTTTATCAGTCAAAAAATCCACAAGAGGTTTGGTTTCAGCCTTACTTCCTCATGGTACCACTACTGGCTTTTTCATTCAAAACTGGAAAAAAATACAATGATTAATTTGCATTATTTTCCTCATCACAGAGTGTTTAATATCCAGCAGTAAATCTTAAAATTACATCCTGCATTTGCTTCGTAGCATCATTCCCCTATGGTCTGCCCACCTCACTGATTGCTCAGTCTTCTCCATTGACTATTTGTTCTTCCACTGCCAAATGTGTTTCCCCAAATTTCTATCACTAGCTGCCCCCAAACTCTTCTACAATTTCACTCCTAATAATTTCATCCACTTCTTTAATAGCTTCAACTATCACCTTTATGTAAGAGGCAACAAAATCTCTTAATTTCAACCCCATTTTCTCTGTAAATTTCTGGTACCAAATTTCCAAATTCTTGCTGATATCTCTGTCTCAGTTTCTGCCAACATTTCAAACTAGTTGTACATTTTAAAATTATCTCCCTGCTCCCATCACAAAATTTAAAAAAAACTTCTCTTACAAGAAAACGTAGGTATAATCATCATGATCTTGTATTAGACAATTTTTTTCTTTTTAGATATAACAAAAGCATAAGCAACCAAAAAATTAGATAAAATGGACTTTGTTAAAATTAAAATGTTTCTGTTTCAAAGGAGGCCATGAAGAAAGTGAAAAGGCAGTTCCATAATGGGAGAAAAATATTTGCAAATTATGTATCTGATAAGAGACTTGTACATAGAATATATAAAGAAGACTGCAAACTCAATAATAGAAAGACAAAAAACCCAGTTAAAAATTGGCAAAAGAATTTGAATAGGCATTTCTCCAATGAAGATATACAAATGGCCAATAAGCACATGAAAAGAGGTTCAACATTATTTTAATTATGGAAAAGCAAATAAAAACCACAATGACAGAACACTTCATATCCACTAGGATGGCTATCATAAAAAAGGCAGACAACAGCAAGTGTTGGTAAGGATGTGAAGAAACTGGAACCTTTACACATTGCTGAAGCGAATGTAAAATGGTGCAGTCACTTTGGAAAAGTGTGTCAGCTCCTCAAATGGTTAAACAAAGTTAAGACCCAATAATTCCACTCGTAGTTATTCCAAGAGAAATGAAAATCTATGTCCACATAAAAACTTTTACACAGGTGTTTATGGCAGCATTATTCACGGCAGCCAAAAAGTAGATACAGCCCCAATGTCCATGAGCTGATGAATGGGCAAATAAATTGCAGCATATCCACAGAATGGAATATTATTCAGTCATAAAAAGGGGGTATAAATACATGCTAGAATGTGGATGAACCTTGAAAACATTATGCCAAGTGAAAAAACAAGAAAACCATGTAAGTTTCTATTTCTACAAAATGGCCAGAATAGACACATGTACAGAAATAGAAAATCAATTGGGGGCTGCCTACGGCTGGTGGTGTGGAAGTGTTTGGGAGATATGGGAGGTGTCTGCTAACAGATGGGGTAAGAGTTGAGTTGCAACAGGGAGTTACTGCTTACGGGTACAGGGTTACTTTCAGGGATGACAAAAATGTTCTAAAATTGATTGTGGAGATAGTTACACAATTTTATGAATATTAAAAAAATGCTGAATTATATATTTTTAATCGGTGAAATGTATGTTGTGAGAATTGTATCTCATTAGAGCAGTCATTAAAAGCTAAAAAAAAAAAACAAAAAATTGAAATGGTACTTTCTCTTCTATTGTCTCTTCCTATTATAATACTATCTGCCTACCTGTCCAAGTTGAAAAACCTCAGTTGTATTTAATCCTCCTTTCTAAACCTAGTCACCAAGACTTATTAATTTTATATCCAAAATATTTTCTACACTTGTACCATCTCTTAAAGTCCTAACTTCTTCTTTCCTGGATTACTGTAGATTTTAATACATCTATTTGAAACTCCAAGTCACTAAGATTCAGAATCTGACCAATCTATTTTCCTCTTCTAATATGTATCTTTTTGCACATTCCTATATAAAATTTCCTAATGCACAAGACTGGCCTGATTACTCAATTCACACACATACACTTTTGCTTTGTATTAAGGAAAGGGAATAAAGAAAAAAAATGGCTAATATCTTAGCACCCCAGCTGCATGTAAATACAGAAATAAGTGTTTTTAATAAAACATTATAATTAATATAACAGAGATAAATATAAGGCACGTAGGGAGACTAAAGGAGGCAATCCTTGGGGCTTCAGTTCAGGAAGGAGAATAGAAAATTAGGAAACAGTTGACCTTGTGTGACAGGTAAACAGAGACACAAAGCATGAGTAAGAATGCTCACTCAAGACGTAGACAAGGCAGGAGAGGGCATTCCAAATAGAAAGTATTAGTACATGCAAAGGTCACAGGTAATCTGATAAATTACAGAAAATGCAAGCAGAGAAACGAGATAGGAGTATAGGAGGCACAAGGAGGACTAGCAGTTCACAAGGCTGAAAAGATAGGCGAAGATCAAAGGTCAAATATAGACTACTGCTATGGGACTAGGACTTTATTCTAGGCTACAAGGAACCAGTTAAGAATTTTAAACAAAAGAGAAATATAATCACATCTGAATTCTAAAGACTGATGACTGTAGACAATGTATGGAGGCAAGAAAACTACCACAGAGGCTGAATTAATAGAGTTAAAAATCTGAAAATGATTTTTATTTTTTTAAGAGCAGACAAAAATCCGTATTTTTCTGTTGATTCTCTTGATTCTTAAATAGGGATTCAAATTCTCTGATACCCAAGAAAAACAGGTCACAGACTGAATTTTAGCTCACAGATCACATGTATAGAATTTCTGGAAGAGTGTCTTTGAGTAATAAAATTAATAATCCTGATCTAATAATTATATGTCAAATTTGGACTAATTAAATTTAAAAATATAACTGGAATACACATGGATATTATACAAGAACCAAAAGCAAAATACCTAAAATATAAATAAATTTGCTTGCATCAAAAGTAACAAAGTACAATTACTAAAAAAAGTTTTAAATTAAATGGAAAGAAATGTTTGTAACACATAAAATTAATAAAGGATTACTGTCCAGACATATCAACAACTGATACAAATCAGTAAGAATAAAAAATAGCCAATTAGAAAAAAACAGGTAGAGACAACTCAGAGAAAGTACAAATGGCCAATAAGCATATATAAAAATATTCAATCTCGCTAGTAATGAGAAATGTGCCAATTCAAGCAACAATGAAGAGTATTTTTCATGTGTCAGTTCACCAAACATTTTAAGTTTAATTATATCACATCAGCAATGATATGGAGAAGTGGGTCTCTTCATACAATACTAATGGGTGACATAAAGCCTCCTCAGATGACAATTTGAGTTAATTTTAAATATATGTATATCTTATGGTCCAGAAATTTCACTTCTAGTATCAAACCATAGATATGTTCTACCAAATACACAAAGAGGCATGCTTAAAAATGTTCAGTTAGTTACAACAACGAATAAAAACTGCCTCAATGTGTGCTAATCAAGACATGGCCCGCTATAATATGTCTATTTGATGGAATTCTATGCAACAGTTAAAAAGAATAAGGTAGATGTATCTGTTCCAATATGAAAATATCACTGTCTTATGGACTAAAAAAAGCAAACTGTAGAAAATACCTAAAATAAAACTATTTTTTTAAATGCATAGAACTATACCTCCCTCATGCCACATACAAAAATCAATTCTAGGCAGACTGTTAATATGTAAAAGGCAAAACAATACAACTCTAGAACACAAAAGAAGAAAATATCTAGATATTGCATTAGGGAAAACTTTTTAAAACCAAGACACAAAAAGTACAATCCATATGGTAAAAGGTTAATAAACTGGACTACATTCAAATTAAGGACTTTTGGTTAAAAAGGCACATTTAATACAATAAAACAGCAGTGATAAACATCTCTGTGGGTTTCAACACATAAAACCAATGAAAATAAGTAAAGAACTCCTACAATACTCGTACACTAGTAAAGTGTTTATCAGTATAATTATTTTGGAAAGCTGACACTGTCTACTGAAGTAAATGTACGCATACCCTAATGTTCAGCAAGGCCTCTCCTGGGTGTGCTTCAACAGAAATTCAGGCCTATGTGCATCAAAAGACTTTAACAAGAATTTTCACAGCAGCATTTTTTGTACTAACAAAAACTATAAGAAATGTAAATGATTACCCTTGGGAAGTAGGAAAAGCACAGTAACTGGGAAGCGTGACAGGGGTTTCTAGAGTATTAGAAATTTTTTTTTTTAATTTTCCTTTTGTTTTGTTTGATTTTTTAAAATCATGTTTATTCTACTACAGTTGTCTCAATTTTTCCCCCTTTGTCCTCCTCCACCCATCCCACCT